CTTTCCTCAAAGATGACAACAGCTAGCAAAAGGATTTGGAAAAATACTCGGGAATATATGTCATCCTTTGGTGCATCACTTCCGAACAGATGAATATTAAAAAGAACAAGTTAATTTTTGTCATAGAATCAAGGGATTGTTAATCGAAATGTGTGTGTGTCTTTGTGTGTGTGTGTGTGTGTGTGTGTGTGTCTTTGTGTTTGTGTATGTGTGGTGTTTGTGTGTGAGTTTATGTGTGTGTTTGTGTGTGTGTATGTGTGTTTGTGTGTGTTTGTTCTTGTATGTGTGTGTGTTTGTTTGTTTGTTTTTGCATGTGTGTGTGTTTGTGTGTGTGTTGTGTGTGTGTGTGTGTGTGTGTGATTGTATGTGTGTGTGTGTGTTTGTATGCATGTGTGTGCTTGTGTTTGTATGTATGCGTGTTTGTATGTGTGTGCTTGTGTTTGTATGTATGCGTGTGTGTGTGTGTATGTATGTGTGTGTGTATTTGTGTTTGTGTGTGTGTGTGTGTGTGTACGAACAAACAGAGAGAAAGAAATAATATTGACAACGGTGCCAACGTGTTAACTGAGCCATACTTTTATTAAATACATATGTATAGGAAAATAAAATAAATGATATTTACAATGATACTTGCCAGCTGACATGCGCTTAATAAATGTATATTTCCATAAAAGTAGAATAACATAAAGAACATTAACAATGGCGCCAACGTGTTAACTGGCGTCGCGCGGATCGATCTAAAGCCTTAATAAAAATAATAAGTTAGAAAAAGAAGTTTTATTGTCCTGCCCTGTGAGCTTGAGTTCTGCATAATGGATATTTAGTCTCCGGTTAGGTAGCTGTTCAGTGAATTTATGTTTATAATGTCATTTAGCACTTCAGTAAGGAATGTTTTTAATGTTTTCGTCTGTCAGCATCAGCACGGAGTTTCTGACTATTACATTGTAGGTTCTTTCGTCCCCAACACCCCTAGTCATTCGCTTTACCGGATGGAACTCGTTCGATGCGAGTGCCAGCTATCCTGAGGGAAACTTCGGAGGGAACCAGCTACTAGATAGTTGGATTGGTCTTTCGCCCCTATACTCAGCTCTGGCGATCGATTTGCACGTTAGAAACGCTTCGGACCTCACCAGGGTTTCCCGGCCGGTCCGGAGCAGAAGTCAAACTACGAGCGTTTCAACCGCAACAACTTTAATATACGCTAGTGGAGCTGGAATTACCGCGGCGGCTGGCACCAGACTTGCCCTCCACTCGATCCTCGTACAAGGATTTAAAGTGTACTCATTCCAATTGCGAGGCCCCGTTCGGGGCTCGCAACAGTATTTTTCGTCACTACCTCCCCGTGCCGGGAGTGGGTAATTTGCGCGCCTGCTGCCTTCCTTAGATGTGGTAGCCGTTTCTCAGGCTCCCTCTCCGGAATCGAACCCTGATTCCCCGTTACCCGTGATAGCCATTGTAGGCGTTTAACCTACAATCGAGAGCTGATAAGGCAGACGCCTGCAGGACGCGGCGCCGACCCAACCCGGGTTACGGGAGGGGTCGTGCGCTCGGCAAAAGTTATTCTGATTCACCAAGATGTGTGCGGCCTGCCCCTTGCGGGAACCGGCTGCCGAGGGTTTTTGTCTAATAAAAGCGCTCCTCCCTCGCGGTCGGAGACTACAAAGGCATGTATTAGCTCTAGAATTACCACAGTTATCCAAGTAATGCGGTTCAGCAGAGATCCAATGAGTTATATCTGATTTAATGAGCCGTCCGCGGTTTCGCCTTTAGCTCACGCAGAGCGGCTGTTTTCAGGTCATTTTGTCCATGCATTTCAGAATAATTTCAGAAATTATTTTCTGTTATTGTAATTCTGTTATTGTTATTGTTCAAAAGGACAACTTTGGAGAAGTGTGGACGCAAACTGGCTTTGTTTTTTTTGTAAATTTATATGTTCATCTTGTAATTCAGAGTTCATACTCTTGAAAATAATGTTTCTCTGAAAAATATGAACATCAATTATTGCTTTATGGCTTGTCAAAATTCATGGTTTCAGACTATGGAATTTGGAGATGGAAACCATAGATTTTTGTTTGTTTGTTTATTTGTTTTTATTGAACTACTATTGGAAGGAGCAGAGGTAGCCTGTTGCTACTAAGAGAGAGAGATCCTCCTGCTGCTGGAGGTTGCGTGAGAGGTCCTTCCACTGCTGGTGGCGGCGTGAGAGGTCCTTCTGCTGCTGGTGGCGGCGTGAGAGGTCCTTCTGCTGCTGGTGGCGGCGTGAGAGGTCCTTCTGCTGGTGGCGGCGTGAGAGGTCCTTCTGCTGCTGGTGGCGGCGTGAGAGATCATCCTGCTGCTGGAGGCGGCGTGAGAGGTCCTTCCACTGCTGCTGGCGGCGTGAGAGGTCCTTCTGCTGCTGGTGGCGGCGTGAGAGGTCCTTCTGCTGCTGGTGGCGGCGTGAGAGAGGCGTGAGAGGTCCTTCTGCTGCTGGTGGCGGTGTGAGAGGTCCTTCTGCTGCTGGTGGCGCGTGAGAGATCCTTCTGCTGCTGGAGGCGGCATGAGAGGTCCTTCTGCTGCTGGAGGCGGCTGAGAGGTCCTTCTGCTGCTGGTGGTGGCGTGAGAGGTCCTTCTGCTGCGGCGTGATAGGTCCTTCTGCTGCTGGTGGCGGCGTGAGAGGTCCTTCTGCTGCTGGTGGTGGCGTGATAGGTCCTTCTGCTGCTGGTGGCGGCGTGAGAGGTCCTTCTGCTGCTGGTGGCGGCGTGAGAGGTCCTTCTGCTGCTGGTGGCGGCCTTCTGCTGCTGTGGCGGCGTGAGAGTTGGTGGCGTGATAGGTCCTTCTGCTGCTGGTGGCGGCGTGAGAGGTCCTTCTGCTGCTGGTGGCGGCGTGAGAGGTCCTTCCACTGCTGGTGGCGGCGTGATAGGTCCTTCTGCGCTGGTGGCAGCATGAGAGGTCCTTCTGCTGCTGGTGGCGACGTGAGAGATCCTCCTGCTGCTGGAGGCGGCGTGAGAGGTCCTTCTGCTGCTGGAGGCGGCGTGAGAGGTCCTTCTGCTGCTGGTGGCGTGAGAGATCCTCTGCTGCTGGAGGCGGCGTGAGGGGTCCTCCTGCTGCTGGAGGCAGCGTCATGGATCTTCCTTTTGCCACTGGATGTGGCGTCGTGGATCTTCCTACGCTGTTTCGAAAACGATAGCCTGCTGCTATCGGAGAGATGGGTGATGCTGCATCCTCGCTACAGGGGGCTGTGCCATAGATTGAAGCAATCTGCCGGGCACAATGAGACATCACACCTGCTGCTTGTGGCGGCGTGAGGGGTCCTTCTACTGCTGGTGGCGGCGTGAGAGGTCCTTCTGCTGCTGGTGGCGGCGTGAGAGGTCCTTCCACTGCTGGTGGCGGCGTGAGAGGTCCTTCTGCTGCTGGTGGCGGCGTGAGAGGTCCTTCTGCTGCTGGTGGCGGCGTGAGAGATCATCCTGCTGCTGGAGGCAGCGTGAGAGGTCCTTCCACTGCTGGTGGCGGCGTGAGAGGTCCTTCTGCTGCTGGTGGCGGCGTGAGAAGGTCCTTCTGCTGCTGGTGGTCGTGAGAGATCATCCTGCTGCTGGAGGCGGCGTGAGAGGTCCTTCCACTGCTGGTGGCGCGTGAGAGGTCCTTCTGCTGCGGCGTGAGAAAGAGGTCCTTCTGCTGCTGGTGGCGGCGTGAGAGATCATCCTGCTGCTGGAGGCGGCGTGAGAGGTCCTTCTGCTGCTGGTGGCGGTGAGAGGTCCTTCTGCTGCTGGTGCGGCGTGAGAGATCATCCTGCTGCTGGAGGCGGCGTGAGAGGCCCTTCCACTGCTGGTGCATGGCGGCGTGAGAGGTCCTTCTGCTGCTGGTGGCGGCGTGAGAGGTCCTTCTGCTGCTGTTGGCGGCGTGAGAGATCATCCTGCTGCTGGAGGCGGCGTGAGAGGTCCTTCTGCTGCTGTTGGCGGCGTGAGAGATCATCCTGCTGCTGGAGGCGGCGTGAGAGGTCCTTCTGCTGCTGGAGGCGGCGTGAGAGTGAGAGATCCTCCTGCTGCTGGAGGCGGCGTGAGGGGTCCTCCTGCTGCTGGAGGCAGCGTCATGGATCTTCCTTTTGCCACTGGATGTGGCGTCGTGGATCTTCCTGCGCAGTTTCGAAAACGATAGCCTGCTGCTATCGGAGAGGTGGGTGATGCCGCATCCTCGCTACAGGGGGCTGTGCCACAGATTGAAGCAATCTGCCGGGCACAGTGAGACATCACACCTGCCACACCTGTAGCGCGTCTCCTTCCTCACGTTGCGGCTTACTCGGCAGTGACGACACCGGCGGTACTTTCGCCCTGGATTGAAAGCCAGGACGTGGCCCTGTGGTACCTGCTGGCGCTGCTGCTGACGTGGGGCGTTCCGGCGGCGAGGAGGCGATGGGGTGGCAGCAGGAGGCGTCCGAAGGCCACCCCTTCTCCCGTAGGCCGGAGGTTGATCGAGGAAGTTAGCTATGATCTCCAGGCGGAACTCAAGCTGGGTCAGGGTGCCACCCAACGCCCTGTGAACCACGAAAGCATTCACCGCCGCCATGTCGAGCAAGTGGTAAAACACATTCTGGTACCACTTGTTAGTTCGTCTGGTTGTGGAGTACGACGCGGCCAACTGATCGGCAAGGTCTACCCCCTTCTTCCCCACGTTGTAGTCAACGACGGCTTGGGGCTTCGTCCGGACTATACCACGGCGGTTTGGGGGCAGGTCAACCATGTCTGGGCCGTGGATGGTAGAAAGCATATGCACCGGCTTCCGATCCATCCAAGACATAGCCAACATCCCCGTCGCCGAAGTCCGGAAGTCGACGTCGCCGCGGGCGCTCACCTTGAGGTCCTTCGGCATGAACTTGCGGTTCAGCCGAACTGTTCCCACGGCGTTCGTCTTCCTTGATGACAGGTAATGGAAAAGTTCCGGGGAGCTGTACCAGTTGTCCAAGTACAGCTCGTAACCCTTCTCGAAGAAGCAGGCGCGGTTCATGAGGTCGGTCACAGCCTTCATGCTGGCAGGTACGTCGCCGCGGTCCTGGCCCATGTAGACATTGAAGGCACTGGTGTAGCCAGCACCAGCACCATCACTCTCGCACAGGCGATATACCTTCATCCCGAACCGCGCCCTCTTCGTCGGGTTGAATTGAATCGCGTGGTGACGTCCCCTGAACGCCCACAGCGACTCATCAACCACGATTTTCCTGTCAGGGATATAGACCGTCTTGAACGTCGTATCGAGGATATCCAACACCGGTCGCAGCTTCCACAGACGGTCGGTGTCGGCACGGGGGTCCTCGTTGTCCGAGAAGTGAAGCCGACTTTGCAGTAAATCAAATCTATCCCTGGTCATCGTTTCAGGGAACACAGACGAGGAAAGCAACCGGTTCTTCGACCAATAATACCGCGAATGCGGTCGCGGCTGCAGGCCCATGAGCAGGCGGAGGCCAATGAATGACTGCAGCTCCTCCACAGTCGTATTCTCCCAAGTCTTCATGTGTGAAGATGGGGTGACCGGCCTCTGCTCCACATACCGGTTGGTCTCCCTCGTCATAGTGTCCCACAATTCCGGTGTCAGGAAGCAGTCCAAGATCTCTCTTGCCGTCGAGTCGGCATGCAGGAGGCATGCTTCTTCGACCCCTGGGACGCCCTGGAAGGGGTGACGGCGCACGAAAGGCCTCTTCTTCTTCCAGACGAAACCCGGAGTCCCTGGAGCGTTCCTCATAGCAAACCGACGTGCAACAGCTGACAACGGCTCGTCGGAGTCGATGGACGTGTCATGCGACGACACGTAATCAAACTCCTCCCAGTCGGCGTCGCTCTCCGTTGCCTCCGGCGAGTAGTCGGCATCGTCGTCAGAATCGTCAACATCCATATCCCAGTCGGAGTCTGGGATGTTGGGAATGGCGGTGGATCGTCCAGATTTGGCAGGTTGGGCTGAGGAGTCGAGAGCCTCCCTCATCTCTCCTCGACCAGACGCGGTCTCATAGAGGTAGAAGTGAGACTCCGGAGCATTCCTCAACCGTCTCGGGCCCTCTCCCGAAGTTGATGGTCTGGGGTCGTCAGGGTCGGAGTCGTAAAGGTTCCTTACGGCATGCGAGTACCTGTAGAATAAAAACAAAGTTAGAATCTCAAAAAAGAAGTAAAAAGGCATAAAAGAAGAAAGAAAAGTATATACATTACACCAAATAACCATGTTAGCATTATTCATCATTATTCTTACTTTGACGAGCGGCAGCGTTGGGTTCGTAGTTGGCGGGACATTTTCAATATGCTATCAGAAGATCGATCAGCAATGACAAAAGTCTGGCCTGGAATGAAAAAATTACCCTCCTCCCCCTATTTATAGACTTTCTGCTCCCGCCTTCACGGTCATTGACCAATCAGAATGACCCACGTTGACCAATTACGTGACCTCTTGTCAGTTGGGGCTATGGGGGAGGGGGGAAGGTGAAACCTCGGGAAGAAGGGGTGGTGGTAGGCCCCTCCAGCCAGAGGTCTTCCCTCCCCCTCTCCCCTTTGCCCACCTGACAAGATGTCACGTGACCCCTTCCCTCTCCGTCCCACCTGGCCATTGGTCAACGTGGGTCACCCTACCCGTAGTCTTCCCTCTCTCCCTCCCCCACAGACCCACCTAATGCAAACCCGCCCCTCCTACATCCCGAGGTCCTCCCTCCCCCTTCCCTCTCCGTCCCACCTGGTGCGAGGCCCCTCCAGCCAGAGGTCTTCCCTCCCCCTTTGCCCCACCTGACAAGAGGTCACGTGACCCCTTCCTCTCCGTCCCACCTGGCCATTGGTCAACGTGGGTCACCCTACCCGTGGGTCTTCCCTCTCCCCCTCCCCCCACAGACCCCCCTAATGCTAACCCGCCCCTCCTACATCCCGAGGTCCTCCCTCCCCCCTTCCCTCTCCGTCCCACCTGGTGCGTACCATCCCTGATTCCCGATGTGTCCCCGCCTCCTTTCCCCCATAGCTTCAATTTTTATCTTTTTATTCTTTTTAGCAGAATATGGAAAGGTAGGACGCGCCTCACCTGACAGAGGTCACATAACTGGTCAAAGCAGGTAATTTTGATTGTCAATGACCGTGACGGCATAATGCGCTAAGCACCACTCCTCTCCGAGGTCTTCCCTCCCCTCCTGCAGGTGGGCCAGTGGGGAGGAGGGTGAGAAGCTGATCTTATTGCTAACACACGGATTAGTGAATTGCAGTTAGAAAAAAAAGAAACTTTTGTCATGTACGGCAGTGGGGGAAGGGAGGGGGGATAACACATCTCCATGTGAACGCCGAGGATAAAATTTCGCCGTCGGCTATGGCCGACGGCAGGTCGGTCCCGTCCTGAACCCGTCGAAGATCATCGTCGGCTCATGCCGACGCCCGGAAAAATATGTATTTGCCGGCCGTCGGCATAAGCCGACGACCGGAACATTTGGGTTAATTGAGGAGCGAGTAGAAACATTAAGGGACTTATTAATGAAGGGATTAATTAATTAACTTATTCATTAATTATTAATTA